GTGCAACTGATGATTGGTGGGAGAGGAAAATAATGGTAATTATTGAACCTTTTGATCTTACATTTTCTCTGCCTGTTAATGTTTTTGGTATATTTACTGTTTTTTGAATATTTTATGATATTATTGGTGTCTAATATGCAGGAAGTTCCAAACTACAAAAAATTCAGAAAAAGAGGACTTCAATTTAGGGATCAATTAACTCAACTATTCAAGAGTGTGCCTGCAACTGGACCACAAGCATGGGCACCTTCTTTCATGACACTTTCAAGTGAAGGAACACCCAATGAAGATTTGGAAGAAGGGTCTGGAGATAGTGATGAAATTTTAGGTGCGCCAACTGGTATAAGTAGGGAATTTAACTCAGTGAACTTCAATGACAATAGTGGAGGTAGTGAGGGCAACACTGAATTGAGGCAGGATAATAATGGTAGCGGTACAAGCAGAGGTGGGAGTCGACCTAGTAGCTCACTAGAGGTCAGAAGGAAGAGTGAAATCATGAAGAAACACACATCTCCCTCTATGAAAATAGCAGATGCACTTAGCAAGATTGCTGAAACAAATATTTCTGAGGCTGAGCATGGAAATGAGGTCATTTCACGAGTAGAAGCTAGAAGGTTGGAGGAAGAAGCTAGAAGGTTGGAAGAAGAAGCGCGTGCTTATGAGATTTCAACTAGGGGAGTCTTGTCTCACCTCAAAACAGTTCCTGAAGTTGTTAGTGATCCTGATTTCTTTAGACAGTGCACACAACTCCTTATGAAATGGCCAGAGGCACGGGGAAATGTATGCAGCTCTGAAGGATCAGAAGGAATAACTTCTGCCCATTTTAGAGCATTATAATAGGGATTTATGACTTGTTTATTATATTAGACAGTTCTTTATGTGTATCGTTTTATGTGACTAGTGGATTGTTGTATGAATCAAACAACTCTGTAACTTTTACAAATGTTTCGTAATTTCTACGTAAGGATTCTAAACTTTATGTGTATGTGCACAGGATAAAACGAATATGGATGCTGAAATTAAACTTGTGGAAGAGCATGCTAAGGGACCAAAAAAAAGGGTTAACAAAGTTGCAGCATTGGTTGGTGCACACGCTACTTTGAACTTGTGAAAAGAGCCTCGGCATACAAGTGCTTATACAGGCAGCTTATGGGTAAGGGACGTTTTAGATGGCAACCCCAGTCATTGTTATAACATGTTTAGGATGGAACAGGGTGTGTTCTTAAGTCTGGTGGAACAATTGCAACAACATGGTCTAAAAAAAACTAAAAATATAGGGATATATGAATCAGTTGCAATGTTTTTACATACCATTAGCCATGCACTTAGTAGCAGAATGCAACAAGATTTCAACATTCAGGGGAGACAATTAGCAGACATTTTCATAATGTCCTAATAGCATGCTATAGACTTGCCATGTCTAATATCAAACCGAAAGATCCAACATTCCGGCATGTTCATACAAAAATTTGGTTTGGTAAATACTGGCCTTTTTTTAAACATGCTATTAGAGCAATTGATGGCACACATGTTTCTTGCATTGTCAGTGCAACAGATCAAACTAAATTTATCTCTAGAAAAGGAACAGTGTCACAAAATGTCACGGCGGTTTGTGATTGGGACATGTGTTTTACTTTTGTCTTGGCCGGATGGGAAGGTAGCACACATAATGCTTGGATATTTGATCATGCCCTCATAACTCCTTCAATGAACTTTCCCCATCCATTGTGGTATTTTTTTATTTCCTACATTTTATTTATATTTAGCTTAACAATAGAAACATAATTTACAATAATTTCATTTTTGATATAAAAAAATATTATTTGGTAGATGCTGGATACCCAACACCAAATGGATATCTTGGCCCATACAGACGAGAGTGTTACCATCTTCCTGATTTTTGAAGGACATCTGGGTTTGCAAATGACAATGAGGTCTTTAATTATTTCCATTCAAGTTTAAGAAGTACAGTTGAAAGAACTTTCGGAGTTTGGAAAAATAAGTTCGCAATCTTATGAAACATGCTATCCTATGACTATGAAACACAAGTTAAAATCGTTTGTGCAACGATGGCTATATATAATTTTATTAGAACGACATCTATTACTGATTCTGGATTCGTTCAGTTGGAAGAAGAAGGTACTTATGCAGAAGAAGATGATGATGGGGTTGGATTTTCACGTATACATTCATCAATTCAATCTTCATCTTACATGGCTCAGGTTCGTGACAGCATAAGAGACGAACTTGTTAATTCAATACAAGGATAATAGTCATATCTTATTTATTTCCTTTTATCATAGATTGTAATACGTAGTTAAAAAAAAAAACCTATTACAAATGCTTTGTATCGATGCATCATCTTAATTATTATGACACTTCCTTATTTATATTCCTTTTATTAATATTATACCTTATATTCTCATGCCAATTATTACTTACTTTAATAATTAATAAATTATTTTAAAATGTGTTTATTTAATTTTATCAAACAATATCATCCCATTTCATGTTTATAATCTTCATGAAAAATACATAATTTTCTGTTTGCAACAAAATAATTCATCTTCTCTAAAAATATTTTTACTCTTATATTTTATGAATATATATAGATGTGGTAACAATTAATTAATTACTTATATTAAACATCAGAGGTTATTATACATGTAGTATGTTATTACAAAAACTAGTTGTGAAAAAATGTTATGGGATTTCATGTTTAAAATCTTTAAAGAAAATTAATATTTTTCTGTTAGCAAAAAAAATTCATTTTTCTATAACATATTTAATATTATGTTTTATAAATATCTATACACATATTAATTATGTGTTAATTATATTATCTTATATATTATTAATTATGTTAGTAAAAAATTATTTCATTAACAATTTTATTTCTTCAAATCAAAATATATCATAAAATCTATCCCTTATATAATTATCATATTAACTTATACCCTTTTTGGTAATTTCCACATATAAAAAGTGCTTCTGATAATAACTATCTAAACACTCTCACTTCTTAGAATCACTTTTTCATAAAATCTACTCTTCACAGAATCTATTCTCCAAAAGCTATTCTTCAAACCACGGTTTGGTTTCATCCAAACACCCCCTAAGTTGAGATTTGGAAAGGAAGCCGAGATATCAACAAATGGAGAATTACAATCAAGTCCCACAGAAAGAAAATAATTACTAAAAAGTCCCAGTAACAAACTCAACGGTCTATAATAACAAGTTCTATAGTAAGAATGACAACCTCTAGGACTTATTTTTCAATTATTTTCTTTACTTGGAACGTCATTGTAATTCTCCCTAATAAAATGGGACAATTCAGTACTTTAAGCTTTAAATATTTTGTACGAAACGTTCCAGTGCTATCATATATGAGTCTTTATTTTGCGGGCTGAATTATCCATGTAAAATGGTCGTTGACAGGTATTACCGTTGGCCAACAGATAGCGCAAATTGATGAAAGCAACAGAAACATAATAATTGATTCTGGTACGACATTGACACTTCTTCGATCAAGCATCCATGAGCAGGTTGAAACTTTGGTGAAGAAAGCCATTGGAGCCGACCAGTGGATAGTGCAAAACTCTCAATTAAATTTGTGTTACATCAATGTCAACTCTACCAAGAATGTTCCAAACTTTGAGGTTCCTTTTAAAGGAGCCAACATTTCCTTAAAACCTCAGCACTTACTCTTTCTCGTATCCAACGATGTGATATGCCTTGCAATGCCTCCCACAGATGGAGATTCCATTTATGGAATTGGAAACGTAGCTCAGATTGACTTTGACGTGGGGTATGATCGTGATCAGAAAAAAGTTTCTAGCTTTTGCTCGAGCCGATTGTACTAAACAGCAGAGACTCTTAAGTACGTACAAGAAATATATAGGGTATTTGTTGCTCCTTAAATTTTTCTTCCTTTCCAAATGTTTTTTCTTGCTTCTTTTTATTATTAGATTTTATATAAAATGAGTAAAATTTTGATATCTTATGAGCAAAAAATGGTGCAGTAGTTTTAAATTTTTTTTATGATTTCTTAAAAATTATATTTATAAATTAAAAAAATACAAAATTTTTGAGTAATTTTTTCTTTAAAAATCATAGAAAAACTTAAAACTGCACCATTTTCTTTGCTGATAATATATCAAAAGTTCATTATTTTATATAGAATATAATAATAAAAAGAAACAAAAAATAACATTTGGAAGATGGAAGAATATTAGAGGGTAGCAGGGGGTACCCCAAATCCACAATATACATATGTAGTTTATTATTTATACTTGATGGATAATATATTGTCTTAATATGGACCTATGGACTATGAGGCAACTTATGGGGAAGGGACCAGGCTTATGAGAAATCTTATAAAGGTAGCCATGAGCGTCTATATATAGAGGTGTGGCATTTGTCTAATTTTCCCTATGCATGCTCAACAAGGATTAGTTTGATTGATGATAATTGGGACACAAAAGGTGTGATTAATTAGCTGCATGAGTCTCTCTCTCTATATATATAGTCCAGATGGAGATGAGCGATATGAATAAAGCAGCAGAGAGTTGTAAAATACTTCTCTAGTTCTATTTATAAGTTATTTTTAATATGTTTTACACAGACTACAAAAAATCTTACATTTTATTAACTTTCGTTTAAAATTCTACACCTTACCTTACCTAAACAAAGTCAACACAATAATAAATAAAGGGTAAAATTATACATTCATATAAAAAATAAGCGAGTAGTTATGTGTGTGTATATAAAATATCCCAGATTATGGAAGCTTTCTTATGAAGATCTTCTTTTGCAGCCGACCTGTAGAAAGATGGAGTGTGGCAGATACAGGAAGCGACCTCATTTGGGTTGTCCAATGCTCACCTTGTCCAATGCTATCTTCAAGATGTGTCATTGTTTGATCCCACAAAATCTTTCACTTTCAAGTCTGAGTCTTGCGGCTCAAGAAACTATGCTCTTCTCCCTCAGCTTCAACATAGATGCGGAAACTCAAGTCGGTGTTTGTACTTTTACTTATACGGAGATCAGGCTACATGGTGGGAGATTCGGCAACAGATTCAATCAGTTTTGTTACTAGGGATGGCCAATCAGTTTCGTTCCCTAAGTCAGTGTTTGGATGTGGACATGACAATCTTGGGAAGTTCAATAGGCACATGGCAGGACTTGTTGGACTAGGTAATGGTCCTTCAATTTGTCCCTAATTTCACAACTTGGTAATTAGATTGGTAGCAGATTTTCCTACTGTTTGGCTCCTTTCGACGCAAAGGCTGTGACTAAGTTGAGATTCGGAGAAGAAGTCGACATATCAGCAAATGGGGTTGTGTCCTCTCCCATGATCGCCAAATCCTAGTCATCCCACGTTTTACAACCTCAATCTTGAAGGTATATATCTGTTTTACTTTGAGATTAATGTTTTTTTTTTTTTTTTGCGTGTTTTCGTTTTAAAGTTTTGAACTTGCGAATTCAAATGATTCTTGAAATACGATAAAGTGGGAGAATTCTGCAGTTTAAGCTTTAAATATATTGTACAAAATGTTGTAGTGATATTATATAGAATCTTTATTTTGCGGTCAACAGATAGTGCAGATTGATCAAAGCGACGGAGTGACTCAACATTGACACTTCTTCAATCAAGCATTTACGAGAAGGTTGAAACTTCGGTGAAGAAAGCCATTGGAGCCTGCCAGTGGATAGTGCAAAACCCTCAATTCAATCTGTGCTGCGCCAATGTTAACTCCATCGAGAATATTCCAAATTTTGAGGTTCATTTTCAGGGGCCAGCATTTCCTTAAAACCTCAGCACTTATTCCTTCTCATATCCAACGATGTGCTGTGCCTTGCAATTTCTCCCACAAATGGAAATTCCATTTATTGAAAACGTGGCTCAGATTGACTTTGAGGTAGATCAGACAAAAGTTTCTTTTGCTCCCGGCGACTGTACTAATTAAAGAGTAGAGACTTCAAGTCTCATCGATATGGTTATATGCTGAATGATGAATCATGTCCTTGGCTGATCTAGCTCAGGTGAAATATAGGCACTGTAAACCCAACACACACACTCTCCGTGTTGTTGGAAGTATCCGATGAGGGTCTGTTATTAATAATTAGCTTTTGAATTAATAAAAGAACACTTAAAAAAAACGATGCTAAATTAAATGAGAACTATATAACATGAAGAGTATCTACTACTATCGGTTTAGAACCTCTCCTCCTTCCTTTCCATCCTCTTCTCTCCTCTTCTTTTTTTAACTATTAGATTAATATTTTAATGATTGAGACTTAAATCTTTTTAAAACTATAATTAAAATATTAAATTATATTAATAAATAATAAATTACAAATCCCATCGAAATTTAATTCTAATAGTTTGCAAATACTCTAAATATTTTAAAAAATTTTATAAATATTTTATAAAAATTAAAATCTTAATCATTGAAATATATTAATCCAATGGTTAAAAAAGAAAGAAGAAAAAGAGGAGAGATTTTGAACCGTGATTTTATAGGGTGATATCTTTTTTTTTTGGGTGAAATATAGGTTGATATCTTTAATTTAACTACAAGAATGATCCTAACCTACAAGAAGAGTATCTTTTGATGGATGTAGTTCATGTATGGGGTGGAACATTCATCTTCCTTGGATATTTGGAATTAAGTTGTGGTGATTTGAACCTTTTTAATCAAACTATACAGTAAAATACAACCCAAGTCGTGTCTTTTGAAAAACCTTTTATTACTTTCAAAGTTAATGAAGTGACAAAAACATTAAAAAAAAGGTTTGAAAAAATATTTTTCTTTTATAAAACTAATTGAGAAAATAAAAAAATAAATGTATTTTTTTTGGAATTTTTAATAAAACGAGAGAATGAAAATTATACTAACTATAAAGTTGCAGTCATTTTTTACTAACTATAAATTTTATTTTATGATAATTTATTGGGAAAATTTAAGATAGCCCATATTGTAGCAAGATAATTTCTAATATTCCAAAACAGTATGAATTTTACTACACCCTCTTAGATCAAAATGAAATTAAATTTTACGGGTGAAAAGACGCAAGTGTTGTTGCTTAACTTTTAACTTGCAAAGCCAATCATCGTTAGAGTTTCGGTTGCCAAATCTTTGACCTTTGGTGATTGGCCACTAGAGTGCTGGTGGTTGCAAATAAGGTGGTCAAGGGCGATTTGAACTAATGACCCTTTGCACACAAAAAAAAAAAAGTTACAACCTCCAAACCAGCCAATCTATTTAATTGTATAATACAAAGAAAAAAAATGCAATAAAACAAATACGAGCATCCAAATGTGTATGACCACCTTATATTTAACAGGTGAATTTACAAGTGTCTAGGTGAAATAATTATCTTATATTTCTTATAAACAGTCTCATTTGTGTTGTAAATCTTCTTATTTTACCTGTGTATTCACATTTGAACACTTCCATTTGTTTTGTTACATATACTTTTCTTCACGTTACATAATTAAAGGATTGAATAATTTGGTTAGTCACAATTTTTTTTGGTGTGTCCAGGATAATAAGTTTAGATCTCTTTTACAACCTGTTTGTTGCAGTGTTTAGGGGATGAAAAAATAGCTTAAAGGCATGATAAGTGATGCACACAACTTGTCAATAACGCAAGTGCACGTGTGTCAATCAAGTAATAAAGAGTAAGTATAGAGTATCATTCTCATGGAGAATCAGACAAAATAGTGGTTAGGCATTAAAATTCCTATTTTCAATTAAGTTAAGCAAGCTGAATTATGGTTGATCGGGTAAAAAGAATAAAGATAGAAAAAAAATTCAATATTAAAGGCAACCTAGAGTTACTAATCCCTTACTAGTTTCATAGATTTTTGCTTTTAACTAATTAGTCTCAATGTTAATATAGTTAATCTAGAGTATTTATATCTAAAAGTGTCTTTCAATCCACTTATAACCCTCTTCTAAGTAATAAGGTTATGTCTAACTCAAATACTTAAGAAGATAAATTAATTTCACTCTTTATAAATTATATGGAGCTCCTAGGTATATTTCTATCCTACTCACAAATCAGATAAAAATCTAATCCCATATTACTCAAGTCTAGAGCCTAATTAAGATTTCATTTATCAAGGTTAACCTTAATGCTCAAACTCATATTTGGTTGTGGCCAAACATATATCAAACCAGGATTAAGTAACCAAAATTAACATCAAAAGCATAATTAATTAAAGGGAAAACTATGTTCTAAGTCCTTATAGTTTCAGTCAAATTTGGTCAAGGTCCCTGTAATTTATTTTTGAGGATATGGGTCCTTAGAATTTCAATCAAACTTGGTCAAAGTCCTTCTGTTAACTGATATAACTTGACAGCGTTAAACATGATTATGTGGCAAATGGTTTAATAAGTTGGCACTTTTTTATGATGACTATACATTTAAAAAAAAAGGAAAAGAAAAAAAAACCTGGTGCCAGCTCACGATTTTGGGGAATGCCCACCGCCTACTAATGCTTTTCTTCTTGCGTTCTTCATCTTTCCTTCCTTCTAGATCTGAGTTTTAGTCTTTCAGATCAATCATCAAAATAGGATGCTCGTGCCTAATTAAAGCGGACCATTCCATGATGAGGGTCCAAAACAGGGCCATTTTCGTGCCTTGTTCCTCCTCATTCTACCATGTTATGCGGTCATCATGGGTTTCGTTCACTCTGCAGTCGCTATTCCTTCTCTTCCGCTTCTAGTCACCATGGGTCGCCATTGATCATTTGTCACTGCCATGGGTATGAGCTGGCACTCTTCTGTTAATCGTGTTTCATCTTTCGTTGTTCAAAACATCATTTCAACAGCTTGTGTGTGAGCAGAACTTCGAATCTTCTCCCTCTCCCTCTCCCGCTCTTCTCCGCTCCACTTCCTATCTATCTCCTTCTCTCTCTTTGCTTTCGTTGCCTTCTCTCGCTTTCACGAAGGCCAAACGATGGTCACCATGGTTAGGGATGATCTATACATCATGATCTGAGCTTCTTCGGTGTCCTATATCCCTCGGTATCAAGAAATCTCTAGTAAGTCTCTGCACCAATGTTACCTATGACCGTTACAGCATCCAACTCTGGCTCGACAACAGCAACAACAACTGCCCAGCCACCATGCAGGCTTTGCAAACAAAAGAATTTGTTCCTAACTGTACAGGGGCTTAGCCATATCTTGTTTGACTTAGTAAGCAACCGAGTCGAATCAACCAATTCTCTGGCCACCAGAACAGTCCTCTCCCCTAATCATGCCGTCAACTCTATGAAATACTTGGATGGCCAAGGCGAGGACTGTCTCAATTCCTTAATAAGAATTGTATATTTTGCCAAAGAATCTGAAGAGAATTGTGAGTTCCTCACGATATTAGATGGATTCGTGCCTTTACTCGTTGATTTACTCGATAATGTCAATGGCATCGTTGAAATGCTCGAGAGAGTCATTAATGCTTTGGATGCGATTCTAGATAAAATCAAAGATCATGAGCAGCTAAGAAAATTTTTTTTGGTAAACTGAGTAGTTGAAGAAATTGATGTTGAAGAACCATGACAATTGCTCAGCCTCCCTGCTCCTTCTTCTGCAATAAGGCAGCATTGGTACGAAAATGGGATCGGTGAGGATTCTGAAGCTCATCATGGTGGATGCTAAATCCAAAGTCATGATCACCGAAAAGGAAGGTCAAATGTCTGAATAGCTCAGGTCTAGAAGGAAGGCAAGATAAAGAACGCAAGAAGAGGATCTGTAAGCAGTGGGCATTCCTCAAAATCATGAGCTGGCACCAATTTTTTTCTTATCTTTTTTTTGCATGTCCAGTCATCATAAAAAAATTGCCAATTCATTAAACCATTTGCCTCATAATCATTTTTAACACTATCAATTTATATGAGTTAACAGAAGGACTTTGACCAAGTTTGACTGAAATAACAAGGACACATATCCTAAAAAATAAATTATAGGAACCTTAACCAAATTTGAATGAAACTATAAGGACTTAGAACATAGTTTTCCCTTAATTAAATGAAAACAAAGTCTAATTCATAAATAAGTTCATAGCTACTATAAGTCTAGAAGAAAATTAGCTATACATGACTGAAATAGAACTCATAAAAAAAAAATTCAATCCATACAGAAAAACAGAGGAAGACTAAGAACAGAAGAGATAGCAAATTTGCCGATCTTAAAGAAAGAACTTGCTGCTGTCAGAGAAATCACCATCAGATGTCCTCCTCCATTGTCACTAGAAAGAGAATTGCCACATCTGCTTGCTACCTCTAGTTTGTTCATCCCAATTCCTTGCCACCGTCACAGTGGAATGGAGATTTACGAATGGATTCGACATTGCTCTCTACTCACCACTTTTCTGCCCCCATTCGCCGTATCCCTAGTTCCTATTTATAATGGTTTTGCGTCTTCTCTTCCTTGAATCCCTTGAATCCACCGCCTCTTATCCATATATCTCCTTCAATATAATATATTATATTATATCATGATGATTTGCCTTACTTCACATAACTCCACGCTTCTGACCCTCTTAACATATCGACACACACATATATATTATATTTATTGCAATTGTTGCTCCCCTTTTGTTTTATCTTTTATTTGTGACATTTCCTTCTCTCAATAATTTTATGTCTCCTGCATTAAAAATAATAAAAGATTTGAGTAGATTTTATGCAAGATCTTTTATCCTATAATTGATTGAAAAGAAGAAAAATTAATAAAAGATGGTTAAATAGGTATAAAATTATCCACAGATTTTACTAGATATATTTTTTATGTCATAATGTTTGTTTTCTATTGGGCTTCTAAAAATAAAAACATTACCAAAAAAATTATATAGAAAGCTCAATTATATAATGTAAAAAAATGGGTAAAATAATATTGTAAGAAAAATCATAAAAAATACTATATAATGGCTTTATGAATTATTTTATTGAAAAAGGAGATTTTGTTGACATAACACTCTAATTTAAGAGAGAAAAATCACTATAAAAAAATTATTGCCTTCGATTCTTAATATAAAAGCTAGTTGACTAATTTAAGTAGATTAAAAAAAATTAATTAAGTTAGTTATTTGTAATAAATAAGTGTTCTCTTTCCTAAAATATCCTTGTTAATCAAGTGTATTGATTAGAACTATTATTATTACAAGGACTAACTTGAAAAAAAAATAAAATAAATATGAGAGACAAAGTGCATTGGAATATTATATTTAGGATCAAAATAAAAATCAAACGAAGTCTTATATTAAAGACTGGGTGTAGTATTATTAATAAGTAAATTAAATAATTTAATAATTATTATCAATAAATAATTTTTTAAAAAAAAAATCCCAGGACGGGACTACCACATCTCTCTTCTCGTCCTGTCCCAGTTACTATTTCGTTCCGCCTTGTCCCGATTACTATTCTGTCCCATCTCAAAAATTTTTTGGTCACATCCCATCCCATCCTAAATTAACCAAGACCGAGACAGGACGGTTAGGACAGGACAAGTTGAATACCTTTACTTCTAGTGATATTAGTTACTAATAAATATACTTCAAGAAAATACAATCACTTGACATTTTAAGTTGCTAATTGCCATCATATGAGTTGACTTTTCAATCTATTATAATAACTTCGTACTTGTATTTACTTTTCTAACTCTAATTTCCTTCTCCACTTCCAGGTTCGTTAAAATTACCTAGATATTTGATTTAATGGTGACCATAAAATCAATATTAAGCACACAAGAAATAAATATACTTGAAGGAAATGCAATCATTTAAAGTTTTCATCTTATAAGTTACTCTTTCGTTTCTAAATATAAAACTCATGTTGTAGTGTAATTTATACTATAAAATGAGTACTAATTTCTATTATCTCATCATGACTTTAAATATTTTTATAATAACTCAATACTTTTATTTACTTCTCTATATCTAAATTCTTTATTCACCTCCTAGTTCCTTAAAATTAGCCACCAATATATTTGATTTTTAGTGGTGGCTATAAAATCAACATTAAGCACACAAGAAATAAATATACCTAAAGAAAATAGAATCACTCGAAGTCTTCATTGTATAATTTACCGATTTCTACGACGTGAGTTGACTTTTCAATCAATTAAACCACGTATTTGTATTTACTTTCTTAAATCTAATTTCTTTCTTCACCTCCTAGTTCATTAAGACTACCTGTACATATTTTATTTGATGGTGGCGATAAAATCAACGTTAAGCACACCAGAAATAAATACCCGAAGAAAATACAATCACTTGAAGTCTTCATCGTATAAGTTACTACTTTCTATTATGTGAATTGATTTTCCAATTAATTATAGTGACAAGCTATGTGTATTTAACTTTTTAGATCTACTTTATTCTTCCTTTACCTTCTAGTTCATTGAGATTACGCACATGTTTAATTTAATGGTAACCATAAAATCAACATTAAGCACACAAGAAATAAATATAACTAAGAGAAGTTAAAATATATTCGTAACTAATAAGCTAGAGTGAATAACAGAATAATCTAAAGTAGTTTCTTATTCTTTATTGAGATACATCCTTGCACCTGGTAAGTGAATTGAGAAATAAATTCATTACGAAAAGAAACTGACTGAGAAATTGAGATACATCCTTGCCCCTAGTAGGAGAATTTAGAAATAAATTCATTAAGAAAAGAAATTGACTGAGTCTCGATATTTAAAAAATTTTTGGTCTCCAAATATTTCAAAGAAAAAAAGAATTTGGATAGGGTTGTAGGATGTACCTTCTCATCCTTCCATTATCTGATGTGAGGCCTACTTCGTCTTTTTCCCACTCTTCTTCTTTCCTTTACTTTCTTATTTTTCATCTATTTCCTTTATTTTATATTTTTATCTGTTTATTAATTTTTTACAAAAAAATTAGTAGACTTTCCATCCAAAGTCTATTTCACCTAACAATTACATTTAGAGAAAAATATATAAAATAAATTAAATAAGAATAAAATAATAATTGAATGTATATTCTCAAATGTATGCCTGTTTAATTATAAAATACTCCTCTAGTTCTTAATACGAGAGCTAATTAGGGAGTTAATGCTGGTTCTATATATAAAATCGGTTTCACATGTTTATCAATTTTTTTTTCAAATTAACCCTATTGATATTCTCTTAACAATAACAAATAGGAGAAAGAGGGAGAAAGGGAATAAAAGTGAATGCTTAGGATGTTTTAAAAAAATTATACTATCTAATTTAACTAATATTCTTAATCTATTTAAATTAGTTAATTGTATTTTATATTAAGGATGAGAGAAGTACACGCTAATCAGCAGGCCGAACTCACTAGCTACCTATTGAAAGCTCATTTGGTATTGCTTTGATTTAAGAAAGAAAAAGGAGTTTAACAGTTTGAGAGTGAAAAAATTAAGGGATATCTATAAGAAAAAACAATGTAAGAAAGATATCTATATGATTAAATAATCATTCAAAAAATACTATTTTAAATAAAGATATTAATTAAAAATAAATATTAAGAGGGCACGTGAAGAATATTATAAAGACAATCATGACGAAAAACTTGGGCAAAGCTGCTTTTATCTTAAAAGAAATTAAACAGTTTTTAAATCAAAATTGATAACTTCTAACAACCAATTTTGGTGCTTATCATGGTGATGAATACCATCATATTTGCAGTGCAGCGAAAGCTACATAATTTAGGTAGAGTTTTAATAGGTTATATTTAAAATTTTTAACTAACAATTTTAAATTAAAAATATTTTTTAAGAAAAGCTTGCCGTTAAAAGATCACCTTTACTTTGTATTATCCGCCTATTAAAAAAAATTTAAAAAGACATAAAAATTAAATCTCGGCTGTTTATATTTAATTAAAAAATTGAGATTTAATGAGTATCATGACGCTTATTACTGTGATTAGCGTGGAAGTTAGTTCAGACTTGTAAGTTGGTATTGATGGCGTTTACGTGCAATTTGTAACCCAAACTTTTCTATATAAGGACGCGCCTCAACCTGCTTCCTTGCTCATCAAATCTTGTTTGTGATTTATCCCTACCATTATTCCGCAAACATGCTTCCTCATCATTCCCTCTCTTTCTCTTTCACTCTTATTATGCTCTTTCTCTCAGCCATTTCCATTAATGTGTCTGCAACAAATACTAAGCTCCCAAAAGGTTTCAGCATCGACCTCATTCATCGTGACTCACCATTATCTCCCTTCTACAACTCCTCAATGACCGACTCGGAGCGAGTTCAAAACGCTGTGTTGCGCTCCATTTCTCGAGCGAATCGCTTTGGCCAGTCTTCCATGGCTGAGTCAGTAGAAACTGATATACGCCCGAACGATGGAAGTTACCTGATGAAGATATCTATTGGCACTCCACCCGTAGAAAGATGGGCACTTGCAGACACAGGAAGCGATCTTATTTGGTTCCAATGCAAACCATGTCCCCAACCTCAGTGCTACCGTCAAAAGGCACCTCTCTTTGATCCAAAAAGTTCTTCCACGTATATGTCTCTGTCATGTCGATCACTCCCTTGTAAAGCTCTGCCCCGTCGCTACGTGCAAGGCCAAACGTATCCTCGATGTGGATCAGCCAATGTGTGTACGTATTTTTATTCTTACGGGGATGACTCATATACAATGGGAGAACTGGCCACAGAATCAGTTAGTTTCGGCCGAAATGTTTTGTTTCCTAAGACGGCGTTTGGGTGTGGACACAACGACAATGGACTATTCAACGAGAACGACGCAGGACTTGTTGGGCTTGGTCAAGGGAATTTGTCTTTAGTTTCACAAATGGGCAAAGTAGGTCGCAAATTCTCGTACTGTCTGCCTCCTTACGGTCTAAAGACTACAACTAAACTAAGGTTCGGGGAAGAAGCCACCATATCAGGAAATGGGCTTGTGTCGACTCCATTGATCACCAAAAATGGCCCCCTGTCGTTCTTTTACTTCCTCAACCTTGAAGGTACTAGCTAGCTAGTGTTATTTTTTAATTTGAGGTTGTTTTATTTATTTTCATCTCAAGTTAGTTTTATCTTCTGATTTATGCAGTTCGATTTTATACGACTCTTTGATCCCTGGCTTAAATTGTTCGTGTGAAATGGTTGTTGGTAGGTATCACTGTTGGACAGCAGAATGTGCGGACTGGTCAAAGCAATGGGAACATAATAATTGACTCTGGGACGACATTGACCATGCTTCCATCAAGCTTTTATGACCAGGTTGAAGCTTTGGTGAAGCAAGCCATTGGAGCCGACCAATTCATTGTTCAGAACAATGAATACAAATTGTGTTACAGAAATGCTAACTCTATTATCCAGAATATTCCGAATTTTGAGGTTTCCTTACAACCTCAGAACTTTTTCGGTTTCATATCCAACGACGTTGCGTGCTTTACAATGCTTCCTACAGATGGAATGCCCATTTACGGAAATCTGGCTCAGATTGATTTTGAGGTGGAGCATGATCTTGATCAGAAAAAAGTTTCTTTTGCTCCTGTCGATTGCACTAAACAGTAGCGATTGGATGACTTGGTTTGGATGAAAAATAATAGAAAAAAGGAAAATATAGAGGGGGAAAGAATACTCTGAATAAAAACTCTCTCTCTCTAATTTTCTTCTTATCCAGACTAAGTACCAGTAATATAGTTATACTGTTGAAGAATAATATACTTGGCTGACATAGCTCAAGTGAAATATATAGGCATTGTAAACCCTATACACACACACACCCATCGTGCTTTCGGAAGTATCTAATAAGAGAGAATGTCCGTAATTATGAATTAGCATTTGAGATTATAAAGAAGACTTAAAAAACGTAGCTAAATTAAATGACAAGACGAAGAGTGTGTAATACTCTTCATTTTATAATGTGATATCAAGTATATTTTTGACAAATAACTAATTTAACTAATTTTTTTTTAAAAAAACTTGAATCAAATTTTTTTATATCTATTATATTAAGTTCTCCAATTATACATGATCTGTGTCCCTTTTTTTTTTTTTTTAATAAATGCTATTAAATGTTAATATTTCAAAAGTATATGACACATGATCATGTGTTATTAGAGAACTTGACATAATGGATATAAAGAACATGATGCAAGTATTATCTATTCTTTAATCTATCCAAATTAGTTAGGTAAATTTTATATTAATTAAGGATGGGAGGTAGTATTCTTTTTATTTTAGTTTACAACTCGATGCATGTTTATCATGTACTCCTCTCATCCTATTTATAAGGCATAGAAAGAAAATTTTTTTATCTTATTTATAAGTCATTTCATTAAATTTTTAGCATAAATGTTTTATTTTATTCTTAATTTATTATAGTGTAGATAATTATTTTTTTCAAATGTGTACATATTAAATGGAAATAAAGTTGAAAAGTTGTTATATTTTAATGAAGAGTTAATTTAGTTTAAAGTTTTCTTTGATCTGTATAAAACATGTTGAAAGTGCGTTATAAATAGAACCAGAAGAATATAAATTAAGAAGCTTTAAATATTTTGTACTGAATGAACGACATGAATGTACAGTGGAAATTATTGCAATGATATTATACATACATGTGTGCGCGCGCCCGTGCGTGTATTATATGAATCTTTATTTTGCGATGAGAGTTATGTGAATGAAATTATGGTTGACTAGGTTCGCTAGGTTGGACAATAATAGTCAAGACTCAAGTGAAATGACTTGAAATGTAAAAATAACATAACTAAGACAGTTTAAAATATGACTGTATCGTTTTACTTAGAAGGTACTTTTAATATATTTTATATAGGCTAAGAAAATATTTAAACTGCATTAACTCTCCCTTAAAATATAAATTTTTAACTTTATCTCTATTTAATATATACACCTTTCAAAAAAAAATCTACATGATAAATATGAAAACAAAATAGTATATTCATACTAAAAATTTAATTAAGTGATTTATAAATAAGATCAAGAAAAATATTTTCTCTTTATTTCATAAATAAGACTAGAGGAGTATAAATTATCATCACATTTTGAATGCGCTCCACTAAACTCTCATGTATATCTAAACAATTTTGAAAACAAGACGATCCGGCTGGTTCCTTCATGTGGAGGGAACTATTCACAACTCTGCTTAGAATTTGTTTGGATTCTCAAAAGCCAATTAAAAAAAAGCTCAAAGCTAATTTTGAGGCAAACTATTAAACCTGAGGTCACATTTTTGGGTTACAAAAACCAAATAAGTATTCAAACTGACTTTTAACGAGAGCGTAAATTACATTCCACACTACGAAATTGCCTTGTTATTGACTTTGCAAAATGCAATTACAGTACTACTACGAAAAGTTGCAAAAATGGTGCATGTCTTATAGTGTTTATGTGACTAAATGCTATAGAACTGGAGTAAAATTGAAGTCAATTTTGCAAACGTTAATCCAAACGGATACTGTATTTCTTGGCCAGGGTCTTGTCGTCCACGCTTCTACAATCGTGCTGCCTGCCCATCCCAACGGAACCAGGCTTGAACGGGCTCTTTATGTTATAGGTGGAGGGATCGTTCAGTACGGAGCTTCTAGCAAGGAGGCGATGGAGCAAGTCCAATGGCAGAGACGAGTCATGGGTTTAATGAGCTCTGGTAAAAAAAAAGAGAGTGAACAATAAGAGAATAATGGGAGGAGAATATTCTGACAAGACACAGACCATAAGCTCTTCAAATAGCTCCCTATCAAAGCTTATTTTCAAATGCTCAAGCTCAGCAAGTCCAATGGCAGAGACGAGTCATGACTCATCTGCCTTGCAAGCTTAAGAGCAAACTCCTCTTTGCGATTCAGGGTGTCGATCATGGTTTGGGGCTCGAACGTATTTTTTTTCCCAGTTCTGTGATGAAGTTTTTTTACCAGCAGTTCAGTGATGAAGTTAAACTGTTAAAGTCAAGATCTTTTAGAAAAGTTTTTTTCCCTATTATGTGATGAATTTTTGTTTGGGAAAAAAATCAATAAAACACGTGTTGTCATGTAAGTCACTCAGATGCCACATGGATGATTTTTTGTCAAAAGTCTGCCTAGTCAACAAAATACATTAATTTTTTATAATTTCTCTAATATTTAAAAATTTAATTTACTCATTCAATTTTACTTTTTCATATTAAATAATTTTAAATTTATTGTATTATGTAAACTTATTTTTTATTATGTTCCAGTTTATATTTACAATTTTTTTTTATGATTTCTCTAAAGTTTTTAAAATTTAATTCACTCATTAAATTTGACTTCTTCATATTAAATTATTTTAATTTAATTGTACTATGTGAAATCATTTTTTTTAATCATGTTTCATTATTTATTAAAACTCATATCCATTTTGGTTACTTTACAACTAAACTTACTTTTACTCAACTATAATCCAAACAACTTTTTACCAATCTCACTTTTGCAAACTAGCTTTTCTGAACTCCAATCTAAACACAATTCAACTTATCCAATTTAGCTTTTACCCAACTTCACTTCTTCATAAGCTACTTTTTCAATAAGTTACTTTTCTAATTGTTGATCCAAACAGACCCTGACTAGAGTTGCACAGCGAAAATGAGGATGAAGCTGTCGTTTTCAGTAGGCGGTCTACAGCTGGTTGAAGACCACTCGCTACATTTTTCTTCGCAAAATTTTATAATTTTTTCCACATGTGTCCTTTTGCATTGGTGTTGAGTTAACACAAAATTTTAAGAGAGAAAGCGAGAGCCTAGGTTGGAATTTTCAGTCATGCCATCCAACAAATTAAGTTATCGGGCCATTGATCTGTGGAAAATAAGTTAAGCTTTGGAACGACGTTGGAATAGTCAGGACTCAAGTTTCATGCAGGCAAGGCAAGTGAAATGATTTGAAATGTAAAATAGTGACATGACAAATACTCTCTCCAATCTTAAATATAAAATCTATATAACTATTTTATAGATATTAAGCAATATTTAGTTAAACTAGTTATTTGTAATAAGTGTGTGTTACTTATTCTAAAATACCCCTTTATTTAATACTATCTTTGGTCCTTAATGTAAGAGTTAATCGGAAGTTCAATTTAGTCTTAAATATGAGACCCCAATCTATTTTAATTTGTCTTCAATATTAATTCATTTTTCTCCAAGTTGTCCCTATACTAATTATGCATGTTAAGAGGTTTCCATTAAGCGACTCCTAGCACACATGATTAATAATGATACAACATTCCTTTATTACAGCTAACTATTTTAACTATTTTTTATAATTTTTATAAATTAGTAATTTAGCTCTTATATTAATGATTGAATATAGTACTTACATCATGTAATACTCCCTTGATAGAAAATCCTTTGACATGCATAATTATTAGGTAGAATTTAGGAAAAATGTTATAAATTTAAGAAGCGAAGAGAATTGCGATATTATATTTAAAATCAAAATAAATCCTCCCACTAGCCTTTATATTTAAGATTGAAGATATAGAATCTGTTTGGATCAGCGGTAGAAAAAGTAACTTATTTTCAATCTAACTTTTGGAAAAATAAAATTAGGTAAAAATTAAATTGGGTAATGTGCTTTGTTTTTTAATTGACTTTTATAAAAGTTAGTTTATAAAGTAAAAAAGTTGTTTGGATTATAATTAAATAAGTAAATTTAGTTGACTAAAATGGATATGATTTTTATTAAATAATAAAAAAATGCTAAAAAATATGAATGTACAAAATATAATAATTTTAAATTATTATAATAGGAAAAACTTATATTTAACGACTAAAATATATTTAAATTAGAAATCATAGTAATGTATAAAATCTGAACCAAATAATATTATATAATTAATTAGATAATATACTTTGCATAATTTATGTAAATATGAAATAAAAATAATATTAAAAATTAAAAATATTATAAAAATTGTTAAAAATTATTTTCATTGAAGAGAATATAAAAAATAAATAACTAAAAATTAATTGGGAAGCACAAAGAATATATAGAGAGAGGTATAAGAACAACATAAATGTAAGGGCAAAAATATCTTTTGATTCTAAAAAGATGCTTTTATACATATGTCATAAGTAATTTTAGGTACTCTTACAATCGTTTCAAAAAGTAATTTTTGAACCATAAGTCAGTTTGGCCAAAAACTGTAACAAACAGCTCCTAAATTTGTAAACTAACTTATTACATGACACAAACTCAATTATTTTTTATATATTTTGGTATCTTTTATATGAGTTTTGTCAGCTTAATTGGTCCCTTTTTGCCTTAATTGATTTATTTTGTTTTATTTTGAATTATTATTTTATAGGGGCAAAATTGTCATGTTTTGATTTAATTATGATTAATTGATTTTTAAAGACAATTAATGCTACCTTATCCTTGAATTTTACTTGCAGGTTCTTGGAAGATTCAAAAATAAAAAAAATAAAAAAAAAAAAAAAAAGAAAAATAAATAAATTAAAAGAAAAAAATATAATAATAAGTTGGGGGCAAAATGCAACGTTTTGCCCCAACCTAATATTCCTAATATTAATCATCATCAGCACG